ACATAAACATTTATTTTATTTATTTATTTTATGTCTTTGCAAACAGTACATTGAGATTTTATATTTACAATAGCGGGTTGCAATGCAAAGAGAGCCTCTATTATGCCTAGGCATTATGGGCCAACTTAACATTATTGGCTTACAGACTACTTAACACTAAGGATTATATCATAGTTGTACAGTAGGACAGTAATTATTTCATAGTTGAACAGTATATTATTAATTATAAGTGAATTAAATTTGTATAAGACAAAGGATATATTCATATAGTCTAAAATGCTTTTTGTGAAAACAATGGTTCAATTATATTCCTGTCAATAATGGATAAAAAATTCAAAGTGATTGTTGAAGTTATGATGTGGGAGTACATAGGTGAGTATGTGTGTGCTGAGTATTTAGCGTTTAGTCTAGGGTGATTAAGTGGCTTTTGAGAAGAGTCTTAAACTGATTTTCAGACTGGGTTACTTTAATATCTTCTGGTAATGAATTCCATATTTTAGGGCCCTTTATGTGCATAGAGTTTTTACACAGTGTGATATGGACACGAGGTATATCAAAAAGAGATCTCTGTCTTGTGTTGTGGTCATGTGAGGAGAAGTTTGAGTGGAGGGTTTATATTTGCATGTATTGTTGTGTGTATGTAGTAGGCACATGAATAAGTATGGATGTTCTTAATGGTGAGCAGATCCAGACTTTTGAAAATTGGTGGAGTATGCTGGAGGGAGTGGGATTTTTTTTTTTTTTTTTTTTTTTTTTTTTTTTTTTTTTTTTTTTTTTTTTTTTTTTTTTTTTTTTTTTTTTTTTTAAAAAAAAAAAAAAAAAAAAAAAAAAGGATGGGAGGATTGCAAAATTTTTTGGGTTTTAATTCTTCAGACCATTTTCCACTTTTGCGAAAAATTTGAATAGCTCCATGGAGCATTTGCCCAATTATACAGGTCCCCCCTCACAAATGGGAAAATCAGTTATTCTTCCTTCAGTTTTTTTGGCACTATTTGGCTACATAATTTAAAAATTTCCGGGGTCCCACACCAACCTGGGATGTTTGTGGCGCTACTTGCTGCATAAGTCTTTCCAATTTTTTTTCTCCATTTATTTTTTAAAAATTTGTTTTCTTTTACCCCTACCCAGGGTTCCCAAAAAAAAAGAAATCTTCTTTTTATGTAAAGCACCTACACGTATGTTATCCTTAAAGATAAGGTGGTTTGAACCCACGTCTTGCCATGGGTCACCCCTCATGAAGCAGGAGAATTTTTTTATTATTACGCTAATTCAACACTACAGCTTTTCCCTACCCAAAAAATTGTTTAAATATGAGAAAGAAACAATAAAATAACAAAAAAGCTTTTTAAAATAACCCAAATGAATAATATTTGGCATCACCGAGCTTCGACAGGTTCTGAAGAGATAGGAAAAACAAACCATTCTTACCCTGTTTTTGGGGGCTTATTTTAGAGAAAACGGAGTATACACGGGGCAAACTATATAACACTCTACCCCACCATAAACATGAAACAAAAAAAGTTTTTTCCTCATAGATTTCACACATACGATGGTGTAGAAAAACCTGGGATAAACCCCCAAAAAAGTCAACATGGCTTATTTTCTCCCCGGGTTTTTGGATTACCTATAGATTTTTGGTAAATTTTCGTTTCCCCCACCCGGGGTAGAAACATAGGGTGTTTCTTTACATGTTGTCTATGTTCACCCACATAAAGGGGGACCTGGGTGTTGCCGATATGTGGGTGTTATCCTAAACACTGACCTAATTTTTGAAATACTCAGCAAACAAGTGCCTTTCAACGGGTTAGTATTACTGATGTCAGCGGGCCCTGTATACCTTGTACTGAGTGTTAAAAAAAGAATTATTATTATTATTATTATTTTATTATTATTATTAATTATTATTATTTTTTCGTTGTTTTGTTGGGTTTCTTTTTAAAAAACTTGGGCAATGTATATGGAAAAATACTTCTTCATGTACCCAAAAATGAAAGAAAACAGACTAAAATGCAGGTTCATTCTCACCTTTGCGGCCGCAGGGGTATATTTTTGTATGGTTGTTATGGTTATTTTTCTCTTTTTTCTGGCTCGTTTGATAGAATGAAAGAAAATTTACAGTAATGATATGATTTTGATTGCTTTCATGACGAAAAGTACCTTTAAAAATTGCGCTACAGTAGCAAAAATTTCAAACTTTAAGAAGGTAAAGAGTAAACAAATGAGTCCCGCCAATCCCTGTCCGCCTCCCCGTCTAAATTCCAGATGGAGTAAAGAATGGATGGACTTTTTTATAAAATTTATTACAATAATGCAGTAGTCTGTATAACAGTAAATCCTTTATTTTTTATTTTTTTTTGTGAATAAAAATTCCAAATGGTAAGTAAGAGTAATATAAGAGGGGACTGTAGCTGTGACTAATGAACAGAGAAAATGTTATTTTAGTGCCAGGAATGTCTGCGTTGTTTATTCTGGATCCTATTTTGAAATTGGCATCTGTTGAAATTTGTTTGAAATTGGCCAAATTGCCAATTTCTGATCATTTTATTGGGTAGTTGAAATAAGTGAATGGGCGGTTTCTTGTACTCAGTTGACAGACTAGAAGTTAATAAGTTTATTCAGGTATACACAAATACAGTTACATAGATTATTATACATAGCAGTGTATGTATAGAGAACCTAGGATAACCCAGAGAAGTCAGACAAAGTGACTTATTTCCAGTGCCTGGCTTGGGCTTGCCATATATGATTTTTGGTAAATATTTTTTTTTTCTCGGTTGTTTGATGGGCTATCTCATTGAAACTGGGCAATGTATGATGGAAAGATGCTTCTTAACATACAACAAAAATGAAAAAGACGGACGATAAATAAGGGAGTTCACTTCTCAGCCATTAGCCGCCTCTTTGCAGTATACAGTGGACCCCCGCATAACGATTACCTCCGAATGTGACCAATTATGTAAGTGTATTTATGTAAGTGCGTTTGTATGTGTATGTTTGGGGGTCTGAAATGGACTAATCTACTTCACAATATTTCTTATGGGAACAAATTCGGTCAGTACTGGCACCTGAACATACTTCTGGAGTGAAAAAATATCGTTAACCGGGGGTCCACTGTATTTTCGTATGGTTTTTATGGTTGTATTCTCATTTTTTGGACTCATTTGATAGAATGGAAGATACATTACAGAAATAGACATGATTTTGATTGCTTTCATGACGAAAAGCACCTTGAAATTGACCTCAAAGTAGCGGAAATGTTCAATTTTTTCCGATGTTCAGTGAACTGTGTAAGTCAAGTTGGTTAATTTTATTTAGTGTATTCTAACTTAACCACTCTGTAATCCGGCAAACTCAGTAATCCGGCACACTACAGGTCCCAATGATGCCGGATTTGTGATGGAGGACCTGTGTATACTTTATGGGCAATGTTTTTTTTTTTTACAGTATTGTTTCACAGCTAAACATGAAGTTTCTTAAAGAATTAAATGGTTTAGCTCAAATCATAAAATTTATTGTTGGAATCTGAATTTGATATTGTTCTTGTGCCTTTCACAGTTGCTGAACAGCAACATGGTTTTATGTGCAGTAGAAATCTCAGCAAAATGAAGATATACCATACATGCTGAGAAACATCACAGTGAAAACATCAATTATGACCATGGCATAATGGGACACAAGTACTCAAAAGAATATTGTACCTGGAAAATTCAGTGGATGTGTTTTAAAATATTGAATATGCATACATAGGGTAATGTCAGTGGTGTATGCACCACTAGCAAACATAAGAATAGCCTACAAAAACCTCAACAAGGATTTCCTCAAGACAATTAATGCCAGAAAGTCAGACAAATACAGTATGCAGTAAGCAACTCTTGGTTAATGCTGACAGATTTAAAATTAGCTTTTATGTATACAGTATGTTTCATAACAGTGTCTATGGGACAGTAAAAAATTATATGGGACAAAATCGACTCCAGAAATGGTAAATATGAATCATTGTAAAAACAGTGTCCAGAGTCAAAGAAAAGATTATCATTATAAGAATGAAGATGTGGAGATATGGAATAAGATAGGATTTGGGTTCCTAAAAGAAAAAACATCTCAAGGAGGTACCGTGATGCCAGTGAGAGGCTTTTGATCTGAGGAATGGAATTTATCCTCTCCATTCTTGAATTGAACCTGAATGCCTCCCATTCACCAGCCACTCTATGACACTTATGGGTTTAGTGCTTCCCCCATTAAAATAAAATGACGAAAGGATAAAAGACAAGAGATAGGCTCAAAAAGTGGAACAACCAGAAGTGAAAACAATGGCACAGTTTTAAATTAAGAAAAGAGAGGAGGAAATATACTTTAAAATTAGTACAGTGGGTAGGTGGAATGAAGCCCCAAAGGAAGGAGGTACCAAGTAGAGCAGTGTACTCTTCGTGAAACAACCACTAATATCATTAAATATTTACCATAAATTATTTTAGAAGAAAAAAAAAATCGCATTCACTGTAAATAGTTAATTTTACATAGATAATATTAGATGTTATATAAAACACTACTTTCTCATACAGCTTGTTAGCAGTTTCTTAGCAAGTATTATTCTTATGTTTTGTGATCTCAATCTTAATGTTCCATGAGCATTAACCTACAGGTCTCCTGGCATTAAGGAGTGTGATATACTACTCACAATACACCACATACACAAGCATGCGTGCACACACACACACACACACACACACACACACACACACACACACACACACACACACACACACACACACACACACACACACACACACACACACACACGCACGCACACACACACACACACATATACGTGCACACGTACACGCATGCACACACATGCATGCACACACAGTTATTTTATTATATATGGGAGCTGCTAGGTTTCTAGGTGTTGAGTTTTTGTGCGGATATTGATATGATATCAGATGGTGTTTTTGGTTCGTAAAGAGGAAGTGTTGCTGAGCTGAGTCTTGCTGTTGCAGGTGGGAGGGTTGCAGGAAGCCAGGTCGACAGCGCTTGGTAAAACTCTGCTCGACGCAACCGTTTCATGCACGGTTTGTGGTAAGGTCTTCCGTGGTCGCTCTCGCAAGCAGGGGCTCATGCGGCATATGCGAACACACACGGGGGAGAAGCCTTATGCCTGCCCACACTGCCCACACCGTGCCAACATGAGGCACAACCTTCGCACCCACATCCTTGCTGTCCACGACATCTACTGCTGAACTACAGGTCTTTCCACAAAGCTCATTGCCCCAACCTTGAAAAGAACTCTTGAAAAGTGGTCTTTTTAAATAATCTTCAGACCACATGTGCCAACTGTGTCTTGATATTCTGGGGAGGTGTGATAAAATCTCTGAGCTTTCCATATGCAACCTAAAATTGATTATATGAATGTGGAATACTGTACAGAATTCAAAACTAAGAGCAATATTTTACATGTGGCAATGGTGTGGTTTTATGGCTGTTGTATATTGTATGGTGCAGCGGTCTGAGAGCGGGCATGTTTTATGTTACAGAGGAGATCACCAACGCTGATGTTTGGTTTGCAGCAGCGGTCTGGAGTTGGCATTGGTGGCAGTGGCAACCTTCCTGTCAACAGCTTTGTATGTAGTGTGTGTTGCAAGGCATTCCTGAGTGGTTGGGAGCTACGACGCCACTTACATGCACACGCAGATGCTCGCCCATTCCGCTGTCCATACTGTTCTCATCGCTCCAACTTCAAGCACAACCTCAAGTCACACATCCGTAGCATCCACCCTGGCAAGCCTTTCTCGTTTACCGTAGAGGCCCCACTGGCCAGTGATGGTTGAGATTCTCTGGACTTTTTTATTTGTTTCTTTCATCACATATTGTATATTGAAAGACATTTCCGTCTCATGAAATGTATAAGAACTTCATTTTAAATGCACATGAGTGACCATTAACATAGTCCCACAGGAAAACCAAAGGTTGAGCTCCACACTGTTATCTGTATTTCAGAACATAATATATTGAAATATAGTACAGGCCAAAGCTTGGAGATCCAGCTATCATTTTTCTGTTGCACTAAGTTAATTTCCTCCACCACAGTACCAGTGGTTACATACATGAATAACTGTTTAAAAATCATAAACGTACATGTCATAGCGAAATAGAATGATAATGATGTACTGGAAATTTACTGCAAATGTTGATTTGATGTAAGGAATGAAGAAATATTTTTGTCTTTTTTGTTTCATATCAAATGTATTTAGGTTATGATTATGCCTAGTTTTGGTCTCTGATAGGAATAAAATACCAGTAGTAAGAACAAAAGATACAGTTTAGAACTCAGATTTTCAATAAGGTCACAGTAAAATCAGTATTAATATTTTAGGGATTAAACTTACCTGATTTTTTTTTAAATTAAATATTTCTTTACACAAAGAAACCTAACATCCAGAGTTGAGCTGTACATGGGTTGAAACATTCAAGGCTAGCATCAGTGTATCCTTGAAGTGTAAGCCTAAGACACCACAGAAGTTATTTGTGGCAATGCAATTATATTTGGCAGAAATGTAGAATGCTTAATTTGATACATAGTACTTGCTAACATAAGCTTTTGGAGCCAAGATTAAATTGTTTAGCTGAAGGGATTCACATATTAAGCTTGCTTGTGTAAGTCTATTGATGTGTCAGCAGTTACATTCACCATGGTAACAGAAACCTACTTGCTGATGTCGGTGCACGAAAGTAAACATGTACACTACATGTACTGTATGTTTACTTGCTGGGATATTATAGTTATTTGTTCATCTTGAAATAAAAGATATTAAATTTTTTAAATAAACAAGCAGTATGGTAACCAACTAATTTCAATTCTATAATGTGTGGTTATGTGAAGTATTGAGTTTCATTGTGTCTTAGTCATAATATAAATCAATGTTAAAAATTTATTATTTAATGAAGGTATTTGAAAAAGTTTTACCAAACAAAAGCTTCATCTTTGAATTTATAAATGTGCATATATATTAATATTTGATGGGAGTGTCACCAACTCAGGATGTAACCTTGCTAAGTTGTTCCTGCAATAGATTATCACTAAGCTAATCTTGTATGATTTTAATAAAGGAAAATTCTGTATGTATGTATTTTTTGGCTTAGTATAATACCTTGTCACTGATATTTGGACTTCTTTTAACTGAGAAAACTTACCAAATATAATTTAAATTTTACAATGGTCTTTGTGAACTACATATTTAACAAGACAACAATAATACAAGGAATTCATAAGTTCCATAACTGAAATGAAATTTCCCTAGATAACATCTGAGATCCTTTCTAAGTTTGCATACATGCAAGACGGGAGCTCTACAGTTGTAACATATAAAATATTTAACATCTTAGTATTCTATATAGATAGAGGCTGTGTCTGGTCATACCGGGCTTAATGCAGATAAAGAGGTAAGGTATTGATGTGTAAAACTATAAAGATGCAGTATGTAGTTTTTTCTAAATTTGTAGCTTTGGCTGAAGGATATGTATGATTTAGAAGTCTATGAATGATGATATAGTTGTTAGGGGGAAATAAGATACTATGAAGCCTACTGAAGTTCCTCTAACCACCAGAGAACTTTGCATGATCCTCGACACAACATTTCACTGATGTGGGAAATGTAATCTAAAATAATATATAACAGTGCTATTCCAAACATGTACATGTCTTCATTAGTAGCTTCCACATCTGAGTTGTCTCTATATCTTTATTATTATTATAAGATGAATGTAGGGAGAACGTTGTGTGGCATCTTTTTCAGTACTCAGTGGTTTCAAGGACTTAATACCTTCATTGTTCCCATCCACACACACACACACACACACACACACACACACACACACACACACACACACACACACACACACACACACACACACACACACTACATACATACACATGCATAAGCAGAGGTACGATAAAGCTCATGGTTCAGGGAGAGTGACCTAGTAGCTAGCAACCAGTGAAGAGGCAGGGCCAGGAGCTTGGACTCTACCCCTGCAACCTCAACTAGGTGAGTACATACATACACACACACACACACACACACACACACACACACACACACACACACACACACACACACACACACACACACACACACACACACACACACATACACATGCATAAGCAGAGGTACGATAAAGCTCATGGTTCAGGGAGAGTGACCTAGTAGCTAGCAACCAGTGAAGAGGCAGGGCCAGGAGCTTGGACTCTACCCCTGCAACCTCAACTAGGTGAGTACATACAACAACACACACACACACACACACACACACACACACACACCACACACACACACACACACACACACACACACACACACACACACACACACACACACACACTCACACTCACACTCTCTCACACTCACTCTCACACTTCTCTCTCTCTCTCTCTCTCTCTCTCTCTCTCTCTCTCTCTCTCTCTCTCTCTCTCTCTCTCTCTCTCTCCTCTCTTCCTCTCTCTCTCTCTCTCTCTCTCTCTCTCTCTCTCTCTCTCACATCTCTCTCTCTCCCTCTCTCACCTCTCCTCTCTCTCACACTTCTCTCACACCTCTCTCTCACTCACTCTCTCTCACACTCTCTCTCTCTCTCACACCTCTCTCTCTCTCTCACCTCTCTTCTCTCTCTCTCTCTCTCTCCTCTCTCTCTCTCTCCTCTTCTCTCTCTACCTCATCTTCTTCTCTCTCTCTGTCTGCATCCTCTGATCAGTCGCTTCTTCTCTCGCACTCTCTTGCACATCTTACCATCCTTTTGAACAACCATGCCAAAGTGAACACATAACATTCAACTGACACTCAAATATTAAACATCTCATAAACCACTTCGTTCTGACTTACTCACTCTACAGTCTTCTCATCTCTTATCTTCATTCTTCTCTTACTGAGTCTTTGTCTCTTTCTGTGCTCATCTTTCTCTCACTGTTGCCATGCTTGCACACCCCTGTACAATTCTTCTCTCAACTACTGTGCACATTGTACCATCCTCTCTTCACAGCTTTACATCACACCTTACTTCCTACACTCACTCTCCTCCTCTGAACATTGTTTCTCTCTCCTCAGTGCCACTTTTATCTCTCTCTCTTCTCTTTGTGCATCTTGTCTCTTCCCCCCCTGTGCCAGTTTGTAGACCCTGTCTTGTCCTCCCGGTGCCAGTTTGTACCATCCTGCCTTGTACCCGGTATGTACATTGTACCCTCCCTTCCCTGATGCCAGTTGTATCTCCCCTCCCAGGTGCCAGTTGTATCTCCCCTCCTTGTGCTCAGTTGTACTTCCTCCCCTCCCTATGTCCATGTGTATCCTCTCCCTCCCAGGTGTCAGTTGTATCCTCCCTCCCAGGTGTCAGTTGACTTGACCATTGTACCCCCCTCCCAGGTGCAGTTGTATCCTCCCTCAGGTGTCAGTTGTACCATCCTCCTTCCCATGATGCAGTTGTATCTTCCCCTCCCAGGTGTCAGTTGTATCCTCCCCTCCAGGTGTCAGTTTATCCTCCCCTCAAGGTGTCAGTTGTACCTCCTCCAGGTGCCAGTTGATCCTCCCCTCCAGGTGCCAGTTGTATCTCCCCTCCCAGGTGTCAGTTGTTCCTCCCCTCCCAGGTGTCAGTTGTTCCTCCCCTCCAGGTGCCAGTTGTACCTCCCCTCCAGGTGCAGTTGTATCCTCCCCTCCCAGGTGCAGTTGTATCCTCCCTCCCAGGTGCCAGTTGTATCCTCCCCTCCCAGGTGTCAGTTGTTCCTCCCCTCCCAGGTTCAGTTGTACCTCCCCTCCAGGTGTCAGTTGTATCCTCCCTCCAAGGTGTCAGTTGTATCCTCCCCTCCCAGGTGCCAGTTGTATCCTCCCCTCCCAGGTGCAGTTGATCCTCCCCTCCCAGGTGTCAGTTGTATCCTCCCCTCCCAGGTGTCAGTTGTATCCTCCCTCCAGGTGTCAGTTGTATCCTCCCCTCCCAGGTGTCAGTTGTATCCTCCCCTCCCAGGTGCCAGTTGTATCCTCCCCTCCCAGGTGCCAGTTGTATCCTCCCCTCCCAGGTGTCAGTTGTGTCCTCCCCTCCCAGGTGTCAGTTGTATCCTCCCCTCCCAGGTGTCAGTTGTATCCTCCCCTCCCAGGTGCCAGTTGTATCCTCCCCTCCCAGGTGTCAGTTGTATCCTCCCCTCCCAGGTGTCAGTTGTATCCTCCCCTCCCAGGTGCCAGTTGTATCCTCCCTCCAGGTGTCAGTTGTATCCTCCCCTCCCAGGTGTCAGTTGTATCTCCCCTCCAGGTGTCAGTTGTATCCTCCCCTCCCAGGTGTCAGTTGTATCCTCCCCTCCCAGGTGTCAGTTGTATCCTCCCCTCCCAGGTGTCAGTTGTATCCTCCCCTCCCAGGTGTCAGTTGTATTCCTTCCCTCCCAGGTGTCAGTTGTATCCTCCCCTCCCAGGTGTCAGTTGTATCCTCCCTCCCAGGTGCAGTTGTATCCTCCCCTCCCAGGTGCCAGTTGTATCCTCCCTCCCAGGTGCCAGTTGTATCCCTCCCAGACTTTGTATCCCCAGGTGTCAGTGTATCCTCCCCTCCCAGGTGCCAGTTGTATCCTCCCCCCAGGGGTCAGTTGTATCCTCCCCTCCCAGGTGCCAGTTGTATCCTCCCCTCCCAGGTGTCAGTTGTATCCTCCCCTCCCAGGTGTCAGTTGTATCCTCCCCTCCCAGGTGTCAGTTGTATCCTCCCCTCCCAGGTGTGCAGTTGTATCTCCCCTCCCAGGTGCCAGTTGTATCCTCCCCTCCCAGGTGTCAGTTGTATCCTCCCCTCCCAGGTGTCAGTTGTATCCTCCCCTCCCAGGTGTCAGTTGTATCCTCCCCTCCCAGGTGCCAGTTGTATCCTCCCCTCCCAGGTGTCAGTTGTATCCTCCTCTCCCTGATGCCAGTTGTATCCTCCCCTCCCAGGTGTCAGTTGTATCCTCCCCTCCCAGGTGCCAGTTGTATCCTCCCTCCCAGGGTCAGTTGTATCCTCCCTCCCGGTGCCAGTTGTATCCTCCCCTCCCAGATGTCAGTTGTATCCTCCCCTCCCAGGTGCTCAGTTGTATCCTCCCCCAGGGGTCAGTTGTATCCTCCCCTCCCAGGTGTCAGTTGTATCCTCCCCTCCCAGGAGCCAGTTGTATCCTCCCCTCCCAGGGGTCAGTTGTATCCTCCCCTCCCAGGTGTCAGTTGTATCCTCCCCCCAGGTGTCAGTTGTATCCTCCCTCCCAGATGTCCAGTTGTATCCTCCCTCCCAGGTGTCAGTTGTATCCTCCCCTCCCAGGTGTCAGTTATCTCCCCCCAGGGGTCAGTTGTATCCTCCCCTCCAGGTGTCAGTTGTATCCTCCCTCCCAGGTGTCAGTTGTATCCTCCCCTCCCAGGTGTCAGTTGTATCCTCCTTCCTGTGCCAGTTGTATCCTCCCTCCCAGTTACCAGTTGTATCCTCCCCTCCCAGGTGTCAGTTGTATCCTCCCCTCCCAGGTGTCAGTTGTATCCTCCCCTCCCAGGTGTCCAGTTGTATCCTCCCTCCAGGTGTCAGTTGTATCCTCCCCTCCCAGGTGCAGTTGTATCCCCCCAGGTGTCAGTTGTATCCTCCCCTCCAGGTGTCAGTTGTATCCTCCCCTTCCAGGTGTCAGTTGTATCCTCCCCTCCAGGTGTCAGTTGTATCCTCCCCTCCCAGGTGTCAGTTACCCTCATGTCTGTATCCTCCCCTTCCAGGTGTCAGTTGTATCCTCCCCTCCCAGGTGTCAGTTGTATCCTCCCCCAGGTGTCAGTTGTATCCTCCCCTCCCAGGTGTCAGTTGTATCCTCCCCTCCCAGGTGTCAGTTGTATCCTCCCCTTCCAGGTGTCAGTTGTATCCTCCCCTCCCAGGTGTCAGTTGTATCCTCCCCTCCCAGGTGTCAGTTGTATCCTCCCCTCCCAGGTGTCAGTTGTATCCTCCCCTCCCTGATGCCAGTTGTATCCTCCCCTCCCAGGTGCTAATTGTATCCTCCCCTCCCAGGTGTCAGTTGTGTCCTCCCCTCCCTGATTCCAGTTGTATCCTCTCCTCCTTGGTGCCAGCTGTACCCTCCCCTCCTGGTGCCAGTTGTATCCTCCCCTCCATGGTGCCAGTTGTACCCTTCCCTCCTTGGTGCCAGTTTCCTTCTGCTCTACCTGATGCCAGTTGTACTTTTCCCCCCTGTTGCCAGTTGTTACTTCCCCTCCCTGGTGACAGTT